CACCGCGAATGGGACTTAGTCTCTGCAGCTGAAATAAGGCTGAAAAAAACGGCTGAAAAAAAGACTAAGTCCCATCGCCGAATGGGACTTAGTCTCTGCAGCTGAAATAAGGCTGAAAAAAACGGCTGAAAAAAAGACTAAGTCCCATCGCTGAATGGGACTTAGTCTCTGCAGCTGAAATAATTTCCCACTTACTGAACCAAGTGGGAAATAGCAAGGCAGGCACAAAGGGTTTGCACCAGGTCTGGGGACACAGGGGACACCGTCTTAAAGGGGCCGTGTCCCCAACAAGTCTGGGACACGGCCTTAAAGGGGCAGTGTCCCAATCTTCCTGATGTCCCAAAAAAGGTGTTTAAAGGGCCAGCACCAGTCACATAAAGAGTCCATAAGCCCCAATATGCCCACCGACAGTCTTAAAGGGCCATACACACCAAATAAAAGTGCATACATTTTCACAATCTCCCAGGGGCCATAGTCATGCGGGAGGAGGTTGGCAAAGAGGCTTCTCCACAACCCAGGGAAACAGGGCAATTTGCCATTTAAAGGGCCCGTTACAAATAGCAGTTTGTAACAAGGTGTCAATCCATATCTGCCAAGTGACCCTATGTAAGGGGACCAGTCTCTATTCTGCTCTGTGTCCGTGTGCATCAGGGGCTCTGAGGACAGGTGTCAATCCATATGTCAAGGTGTCAACATGTCATATGTCAGGCGTCAATCCATATTGATTGTGATTTAGGAATGTTAGGTGATTTCTGCCCTTTATGGATTAAAACCAGACTCTGTATCAACTGTGTAATTTTCCATGGGAGTTTTGCCATGGATCCCCCTCCGGCATGCCACAGTCCAGGTGTTAGTCCCTTTGAAACAACTTTTCCATCCCTATTGTGGCCAGAAAGAGTCCCTGTGTGTTTTAAAATTCGCCTCCCCATTGAAGTCAATGGCGTTTCGGGCGGTTCGCCGGTTCGCGAACATTTGCGGAAGTTCGCGTTCGCCATTCGCGAACCGAAAATTTCGGGTTCGCGACATCACTACCAGCAACCTTTGGTATATTTGCAATAAACACCTTATGTTTTTAAGTGAGGGCTAAGCCATTGAGCTAGTAATTTAGTCAAAACCTCAACATTAAAATTAAGAAGAGATTACAGGTAGTAGTTCTCAGTATTAGTATGGTATTTATCCCACTTAGAGAGCAAACATACATTATCCAGTGTCCCTTTCTCCATCTCTAGTCTTAGAGAATAGTTTTACAAGATGTTGCGAAGATTGGCATCTCTCTGTTAGAGGCCCCAGTTTGCATGCATACGGTCAAGGTATCATGTTTTCTACTTACCTCTGCTGCAATATTCACCTCATGCCTCAATAGCATGTACTGAGGTGCTAGAACAGGGTTCCAGTTTACTGTATACTTCCTTTTCAGTACTGATGCTGATCAGATGATCTGGGATTCATGGATTTGCTAGTGGGCATATAGTTAAAGAACTAAAAAACAAAACTGGGCAACACAAGGGTTAAAGGGACATTAAGAACACCAATAAAACTTTAATGTACTTGATACGTTTTGGCCTCATTTTTTTTGCATGCTTAGATCTTTTTAGTTTTTACATAAAATAAAAAAATGTTTTGCAGAATGCTGCTCCATATGCCTGCTTCCTTAGCCGTACTCCATGAAAATACTTCCTTATCAAAGGTATGCACACAGTTCAACAACTGATAGTACTGAATGAGCTGAACAATAAAAAAAACATGCATTTGAAGGATAGGACACAGAGGTAGACAGATAGTAGGATATCAATACCTATTTGTAGTTTATCTAAATATCTGCAACCAGGTTATGACTTAAAAGCTCCTCACTCAGTGCTGTTGTGGCTTTTAAAAATGAGAAAGTCAAGTCGGTAGGCAAAGCCTGTAGTTGTGGGAGGAGTTACCGGGCCTATAAATTCCCCTTCCTCTGGGCCAAGACCGCCTAGTTCCCACCACTCCCTTTTTTAAGACATTCATCTTGATTGGTCCTCTTTTATAGGCCTATCTGAATATCGGTCCCAACACACCAAAACCAACCATTACTATAACTCAGCTTATTGTATATAACCACAAGGAAGTCTTTCTAGCATGAGGGGCATAGGATTTTTTTTTTTGTGGGAAAAAAACTAAACCATAATGATTTGAACTTAGAAAAAATACAGCATATTAATAAGGCAAACACTTATCAAATGCATTAGTTGCAAAGTTGTATTGGTGTCCAGAGTGTCCTTTAATTATTGGTGGCTGGCAAGCACTTGCTAGACAGCCATCACATTAAAATGTGAAACTATTTATAAACAGCCTATGGGAAAATACGAACTTCATATTAGTATAAGGTTGGTACACTACCTCACTTAGGCCTCACACTTCATGTTTGTGGTGGGGGAATAACTACTAAATAGTGAGCAGCTAGTGGTGTTTACTGCCATTGAAAACGGTCTACTAAGCTATAACTTCCTAGTTGCTAAGAAAGGCCCCATGTGTAAAGGGAAGGATTAATTAAAAAAAAGACATTGTATTGTCCCACCCAACCCCTGCCCATGAGAGTAGAGTTATGGCTCTTATAAATAGTAATAGGGTGGACATGCCCAAGTTTTATGCTCTCTGTTTAGAAGAGATGCCTTTATCTGTGCCATGGTTGGGAGGAGGTAAAAGTGAGGTATTATTATTATCCTAACTAATTGTATTAATATTAATACACTAATACAATTAGTTAGGATTTTTTTCAAATTTTCAGGTTATTATTATTTTATTATTACTGCTATTTATAATGCACCAACAGATTCTGCAGCGCTGTAAAATTAGTGGAGAAACATACAATATACACAGACAAATACAAGAGGTAGAGAGAGCTCTGCCCATAAGCTGATATCAAGCCATTGGAGCTCTTTTATACAAAGTGCTTGGCTAGATGGCCCGTGAGCATACACTCTAAAGGATAACGTGGGGATTTGAGACAAGAGGTAGCAGGGGAAGTTTGGAGGTGATGGCTAAAAGAGTTAACAGAGAGGCAGCTATTGGTAAAATACAAAGGGAATGAAGAGGTAATTGAGTGAGAATCTCAAACAGCTGGAGGAGCATGCTATATATTTAGGGGTAGTGATGTCGCAAACACGAAATTTTCGGTTCGCGAACGGCGAACGCGAACTTCCGCAAATTTTCGCAAACCGGCGAACCGGGCGAACCGCCATAGACTTCAATGGGCAGGCGAATTTTAAAACAATGCGCAGTGTAGGGGTGGCCTGCCTCTGCCTGTCATTTCTTTTTCGATTAGTGGTACTATGCGTGCAAGCTACTGTGACACCAGATATGAGTGGCACTGTGAACTGGCAGCATAGGCGTGCGCACGGGGTGTGCCGGGTGTGCCTGGGCACACCCTAATCCCGCGCACGCCTATGTATATTGAGACCGGCAGGGGAGATCTCAGGATCTCCCCTGTCGGCTCATGCAGAGCCGGCACTATCCGAGCGCCGGCTCTGCTCTCAGCCTCCCTCCCCACTGACCCACATGCAGGGAGGGAGGCAGGAGAGGACCCGGCGGAGCTCTTAACGGGTTCCTCTCGCGAGATATGAGCGTTGCCACGGCAACGCTCAAATCTCGCGAGAGTGAACTCTAGCCCCACAGGGGGCTAGAGCTCACTCTCCACTGGACCACCAGGGATCACAGCAGCAAGGATCCCCTCCTCCACTGGACCACCAGGGAAGGAAGCAGCAGCACGATCCCCCCTCCCTACAAAAGGTAAGAAGGGAGGGGGGATAGCAAATAACGTACCCCCACCTCCACCCCCCACAATCACCCACCCACACACATACAACACACATACAGCACCCACACACATTCAGCACCCACAGACATACACAGCACCCACACACAGCACCCACAGACATACAGCACCCACACACATACAGCACCCACACACATACAGCACCCACAGACATACACAGCACCCACACACATTCAGCACCCACACACATTCAGCACCCACAGACATACACAGCACCCACACACATACACATTACCCACACACATACACATTACCCACACACATACAGCACCCACAGACACAGCACCCACACACATACAGCACCCACACACATACAGCACCCACAGACATACAGCACCCACAGCCATACAGCACCCACATACATTCAGCACCCACATACACGCAGCACCCACATACACACAGCACTCACAGACATACACAGCACTCACACACATACAGCACCCACACACACATACAGCACCCTCACAAACACACACAGCACCCTCACAAACACACACAGCACCCTCACACACAGCACACAAACAGCACCCTCACACACACACAGCACACTAACAGTACCCCCACAAACACAAACAGGACCCTAACAAACACACACACAGCACACTACCAGTACCCTCACACACAAACAGCACCCTCACACACAGTACATTAACAGCACCCTCCACAAGCCTTTTTACACAAACACCCTCACCCACATAGCACACTACCATACTGTATGTGTGTATATATGTATGTATATATATATATATATATATATATATATATATATGTGTAATGATATTGATATTATATATATATATATATATATGTGTGTGTGTGTGTATATATATATATAATGTGTGTGTGTAATATATATATATATATATATATATATATATATGTGTGTGTATATATATGTGTGTGTGTATATATATATATATATATATATATATATATATATATATATATATATATATATATATATATATATATATATATATACATACATACATACATACATATCCGGCTTGTGCTTTAGGGTGCACACCCTAATGCAATATGCTGCGCACGCCTATGACTGGCAGAGGTTGGCAGAGTACACGCTGTAGGCCTGACACACCCGCTTGAAGACAACTAACTGCTATTCAATCTATAACAGTGAAAAAAGTTTTTTTGTTTTTAAATGCAAGCTATTGTGACACCAGATATGAGTGGCACTGTGAACTGGCAGAGGTTGGCAGAGTACACGCTGTAGGCCTGACACAACCGCTTTGAGACAACTAACTGCTATTCAATCTATAACAGAGAAAAAAGTTTTTGGGTTTTTAAATGCAAGCTATTGTGACACCAGATAAGAGTGGCACTTTGAACTGGCAAAGGTTGGCAGAGTACACGTTGTAGGCCTGACACACCCGCTTGAAGACAACTAACTGCTATTCAATAGTGATGTCACGAACGTGAATTTTTAGGTTCGCGAACGGCGAATGCGAACTTCGGCAAATGTTCACGAACCCGCGAACTGGGCGAACCGCCATAGACTTCAATGGGCAGGCGAATTTTAAAACCCACAGGGACTCTTATTGGTTGAAGGGGGGGGGGAGGGAGACCTACTCTCCTCCCCCCCCAGCCCCCACCCCTGGGCAGCGGGTGGGGGCCATAAAGATAATGAGGGGGGGACCTAAAATAACCCTTGAGCGGTGGGTGGGGGCCCTAATAACAATAAGGGGGGGACCTATTGTCCCCC